AATTGGATTATGCCATGACATTCAACAGTACAATTCTAAAATCATTATAAACGGCAAGTAATAAATAAAATACAAACTCGCTCCAATTTAAAACAAATTTTATGAAACTTGTGAATAGTTGTGGTATCTGGCGAGCGAAAGCGACGTCAGATACCAGAACTATTCACTCATTTAAAAATATTGGTATAACACAGGAGCTTGTTTAGTATTCTATATTTATGTGTATCATAAGGTCACATGAACATGCACACAGGCTGCATTCACGCAGAGGAAACAGACCTGTGATTGTCAAAACCTAGTGTAAACATTGACACAACATCAGACAGGAATACAGCTGATGTTATGAGTGACAACAGTCCATTAGTTACACAACATTTGATTACCATCATACATATGCTCATGGAATATTATTGGCTTGAAAAATTGTGTATTCAGATTTTTCTGCCTTTTATAAAAATGATGACATTTTCTGTTTGATAGAGACAATGATGTGTGAATGAATGCTCATATTTTGCAAAATCTATTTAACGACTATGACATCTTTAATTGCAATCCAAAACATTATAAATCCTATGGAAGGTTTTCAGGAGTATTTATTACCCGCGTGGTGAAGATACAGGTGGTAAGATACTAAATCTGTACGTCACAAGTGTGTCGTACAAGGTTGACCTCGTTTTATTCGTTTTGATTGGACAATCGTGACCTCGGTCACACCGGAACTACTTTTTTCATTCATAAACAATCACGAGACGTCATTGGCTTTCACAACTCTTTACTACTACGAAGCAGAACTGTAGGATTCTCGTGAAAACAAGAGACATTTACAAACAATCACAAGCAATTTTAATACATGTCATGACAATAAATGGTGTTTTGTTTGGCTAACTTGAAACATTTTGCATTTGGTAACAAGTATACTACAAAAAACACGATCGTCTGCTAAAATATTAGCGCAGATTGAAAGATGGCTACCACTATTCGTGTTAACGATTGTGTCAAAATTGACGGAGAAGTTAGAGGACGGGTGCTTTCTATTGTTCAACCACTTGGAACATTCAATGCCTACAATATCAAAACTCTAAATGGTGAAATGAGGCAAGTAGGACGGCATAGACTTTCTGTTGTTCCTGAGACTGTATCATCGGCCCCTATATCTGTTTTGAACCCATTTGACACTGTTCCAGAATGTGTGGAAAATTACATGTATACATTTATGCCCCTATACTACTTAAGTAAACCAATCCTATATTAAAACTTAAATCCAACTTGTTGTCATGGAAACATAAACAATAAAAAATTCTAAAAGTGCTATATATCAAAAGGCACCAGTTCAGTATGTGCCTGGTAGACATGCAACGTTTTGCAAGAAAGTATTTAACGGTTTTTGAGTTACACTCTGGAAACGAACACCACCCCTGTAGAACCTAAGTCCAACTTATTTCCATGGAAACGTGAATTATTTTTTTTCTAAAATTCCTAAATAGCAAGAGGCACCAGTCCAGTATGTGTCTGGTAAACATGCACAGTTTTTGTTGGAAAGTATTGAATGGGTATTGAGTTATGCTCCGGAACAAACTCTACCCTATAGAACCTAAGTCCAACTTGTTGCAATGGAAACATAAAAAATAAAAATTTATAAAATTCCTAAATAGCAAAAGGCACCAGTTCAGTATGTGCCTAGTAGACATGCAAAGTTTTGAAAGAAATTATTTAACGTTTTTTTAGTTACGCTCCAGAAACGAACAGCACCCTTATAGAACCTAAGTCCAACTTGTTGCCATGGAAACGTAAAAAATAAAAATCTATAAAATTCCTAAATAGCAAAAGGCACCAGTTCAGCATGAGTCTGATAGACATGCAAAGTTTCGTAGAGAAATAATTAACGGTTTCTGAGTTATGCTCGAGAAACGATTTCGGGACGCACACACACACGCACACACACACACGCACACGTGACACGCACACACGCACACACATACGGACGGAACCCATTTCTATATCCCCCGCCAACTTCGTTGGGGCGGGGGATAAAAATATGTATTCATCGGTAAAGGCTTGTATTAAAACACAATCTGGTAGAACACAGTGCTTCTTAACATCTAGTGGTGTACGTCAGGTATGTATATTCAGTCCAGTTTTGATTATATTTTTCATTTGAGCTTGTCACAGAACTGTATAACGAATGTCATAATGGTGTGTTTGTCACACAAGATATTGGAGATTTAATGTTACTTCTATTTGCTTATGATATTATGTTTTCATACTCTGTTAATGGTCTACAGAAACAATTGAATGTATAACATTCTTTTTGAAGTAGATGGGGATTGGAAGTTAATTTGTCAAAAACAAATGTAATTATTTTTAGAAATGGAGGCATCATTGCTAAAAAAAAATGAAAAATGGACATATAGTAATATCGCCTTAAAAATTGTTACTTATTACATATATTTAGGCTTGACGCTATCATCTAAACTATCATGGTTAGTTGTGTGCAAACAATTAGCATCGCAAGCATCAATAGCATTTAAACTTATCTATAATTTTTTCAAGCAACATATATAGTCTGGAAGGTAATTTAAATTTTTTACAACTTGTACTATATTTGATGGCCAAATCGCACCAATCTTGCTATAAGGAGCAGAAATATGGGGGGCAAAATATAATGATGCCATTGAAAAAGTACATGCTTCCTACTTAAGTGCTCTTTAATGGTTGGAAAATATGCCTTAAACAAAGCTTTTTTAGGTGAAACAGGCCGTTCAAAATGACAAAATATTGGTTAAAATTACAGAGGATGGAGCCGCAAAGATATCCTTACCAATGTTATAAACTACTGAAAGCTCTTGATGACAAAGGCGAAACGAATTTGGTGTCCAATGTCAGATATTTATCATTTTCATGTGGATATTCCTTTGTGTGGATAAGATGTAGGGGATACAAATTTGTTCTTATACCATTATATAACAACAATATTATACATGTTATAAGGAATTTTGAATAAAATTAATGAAATAAGTTACAAACATAAGTCCAGATATACAAAGAACACTTTTTATAGCCAGACAGTGTAATTACATGATTATTTTGCGTACTTCAGTGTGGATTTGTTGACATGGTATTTCCGGTGTTTCCTGCTCACGGTAATGTCTTTCCATGGGGGAAAAAAACATCCAAACTCATATTTCGAGTATAATGCGCACCCCCATCTACACAGCTGTGTTTTTTCGAAAAAAAGTGCGCACTATACTCAAGAAAATACGGTACTCTTTTAAACAAAGGTTACAGGATATGTATAGTCAAAACTGGCATGAAAGTATATCTTCTTCACATTTCCTAGCTATTACAAGGATATCAATCTGCTATAGAACCAGAGAAGTATATAAGTACAGTCAAGTCCCGTTAATCCGACACTCGTTAATCCGACAATCGCCTTATCCGACACTAATGTTGGGAACCGACTAAATCAGTGATGTTTACACCCGTTAATCCGACAGTCTCGCACTCTGACTCCGACACACCTAATTTGCAACGTATTACCGAAATCTCTCATTAATCAGTCTCGTTAATCCGACACAGTGATCAGTATAGTCCGTGGTCATCTGCCCGCGAGTACACAGCCTGTGTTTTGATGCATGACGAATCGGCTGGTAGCTGCATATTACAACGGGTTCAGGGATAAACTTGCTTAACAATAAACAATTAATCCCTTAAATAAAGAAAACAGGATTATTCACAAGCTTAGATTACCTCAATCTCATTAAAATCTGACACAAGTCTAACAGGAAGTCAACGTTAGCCACGAAGAAAGCAGCTTTCTCAAGCTTAGCAGTACTAGTTTCAAACTGGCGACTTCCATTCCAGACTATTCTTTTTAAATTATTTTGAATAAGTCATAAAGTCCGTAACAGTTATTTTATGCTAAGCTTTAATGGTTGCATGATTAGAAAACATATTCCGCTAACAATGTAATAAAACAATATGAATATTTCATTTTTTATTATGTGTTTGTATCGTTAACTATTGTGTAGTTGTCCGATTTTCGATCATGAACGTTGATACAACTTAATTTCGTTTATCCGACATAATCATATGCAAAAAACGATTTCGGATGAACGGGACTTGACTGTATGACATTCCTTTCAGGAATTCAAGCAACAACTAAAAAATAGCATATATGCTTCTAACTGAAAGTAGTTCATAGAGATCTACCACTGATATGAGATCGTCATCACCTGTATTAAATAAGTATTCAAATGATCATACCACTACATCCATTATACTTAAAAAGTATCTGCAGAAAAAAAGCATTTAGTGAAATTGGCAAACATACTTTACGAATGACCTTCACTGTGACCTTGAACCTGCAGCCACACCCCAAGGATGAAATGTATCAAGATTCATTGACATACAGTAAATGCTTCATGCTTAAACAAACTAAGCTGTGACCTCGTGGATGAGTGTAACCTTGACATATCAGGTCAATGTATCAAAAGAAATTCCAAGAACTATGAAAGACATATACCAGAACATGATATGAAATCCCTGAGATGTCCAAGCACCCAGTGGTCTCAAAAACTAAAAGTGTGGTGACAACAGTGGTCTTATTTACACAAGACCTTAAAGCATCCACATTTACATGGGGCTACAGAACTATTAGTTCCGCTTTTCATAAAATGTGTAAAAGTATGCTAATATTAAAAAAGAATCAATTTTCTCATTGGTTTCAAAGCACAGACCACTGAATGCAAAATTTAAATATATTTGAGGTAAAAATATATGTTTATTTAATATTAATTAATAATTAAATTACAATCATTTAACATTTACTGTAAACAACAGTGGAATACAAAACCATGGGAACCTCAAGTTTTGATTTCATTTTTGAAATCACCATACCTAGAAAGAACTGGTAAACCGAAAACTTGAGAATTCTGCATAGGATCTGTGCTTACAACAAGAAGCCAACAAAATAAAGATTCAACAACAATGGCAAAACTCACGAGAACGTGTGAGGTTGAGAATGGCTCCGGCCGCATTATGTTGGATGTGTACATGGGCAGATTTCAGCAAGGATAGTAGAGCTTTGATGCTTTGGTCCATGTATAGCTGCTGCTGGCTACAATCTATGTTAAATACAAGACAGGTGATAACTAGAAAAGTGGTCACAGAAAAGAGAAAGAAAAACAGAAGGAGCCACATCATGCGCTTTCATTTCAAATTCTGTAAATTTAAATCTAGGTGAAACTTGAATCTAGGTGTGATGAGTAATGGTGTCAGATGTGTAAGTTTTGGGGGCATAGCATATTTTTAAGAAAACTAGACGAGTGTTAAACTGTAAATTAGTAATAGTAAAGACACAACTTTTCATTTGATAGCAAAGTTCAATATAAGGTTGAAACAAGCATATAGTCGACAAAGTCATCTATATCCCCCGCCCATTTTAACACGTTATGGTCCCAAACCAGGTAACTGACCCAACATTTCTCTTAGCCCATGTCAAAATAGTTGCAATGGAAATTCTAAAATAAACATTTCTAAAACACCTTAATATCAAATGGCACCAGTTCAGTATGTGCTTTATATATAGACATGCTATGTTTGGCAAGGAAATATTTAACAGTTTATTTGTTATACTCCATAAGTGAACCCACCCTATATTAAAAGAAGGTCCAACTTGTTGCCATGGTAATGTAAAAAATAAAAACTTATAAAATTCCTAAATAGCAAAAGGCACCAGTTCAGTATGTGCCTGGTAGACATGAAAAGTTTTGTAAGAAAGTATTTAACGATTTTTGGGTTACGCTCTAACTTGTTGCCAAGGAAACATAAAAAAATAAACAATTCTAAAATTCCTACATACCAAACGGCACCAGTTCAGCATGAGTCTGATAGACATGCAAAGTTTTGTTACAAAGTATTGAATGGGTTTTGAGTTATGCTCCGGAAGCGAACTCTACCCTATAGAACCTAAGTCCAACTTGTTGCCATGGAAACGTAAAAAAATTTTTTTTTAAATTCCTAAATAGCAAAAGGCACCAGTTCAGCATGAGACTAATAGACATGCAAAGTTTCTTAGAAAAATATTTAACAGTTTCTGAGTTATGCTCCGGAACCGATTTCGGGACGCACACACACACGCACGCATGCACACACACACACGCAGGGACAGATGTACGGAACCCATTTCTTTACCCCCCCCCTAACTTTGTTGGGGCGGGGGATAAAAACACTCAGTTATACTTCAATAACAAAAGGAAAAAAAACTAATAACTTCTGAATTAATGTGTGATGTCATATTTGCTTGTTTGAATTAAGACATTATAAGCAAGCTCCCACTCTACCAAATCATGACCACCAGATCTGAAAACCTTATCCATTTAGTCCCCCGTCATAACAAGCAGAAGTTGTTTGGGACATATCTAACCTAGAATCCCCAAAGTTTCAGCAAGTAATATTTAGTGGTTTATGAGTTTTACTCTGCAAAATGAAACTCTCAAAAGCAAATAGTAAAAATCAAAAACTTAACTGAAAACTTAAAACAATTAAAATGGATAAAAGACACCAATTCAGCAATTGTCTGTGATTTTGTTACATGGAATATGTCAAATCAGGCAACATGTATAATACCTGAAAATTTCAGGGATTATACATTTTCCCTAATTTGAAATATTCCCTGTAACATATACACAATTTTCAGGAAGAAATAAGTAACTGTTTATAAGTTCTGCTCCAGGAATGAACCCCACCATCATTGGCAACATGTTTCCTTGAAAACATAAAAGAGTAAACCTGAAAAAAACAATTCACAAACCATAACTGCAAAAGGCATACCTTCAGTTTATGGTGAATGTGTGAAAAGTTTTGGAAAAATAGTCCTAATAGTTTTAGCTTTCTACTCTCAAAACAACAGTCACTTTCTCCAAAATCTCCTTACAATCAAATCTTTGGCTGGCTGCCGAAATACAAAGGTCTGAGGACACAACTGTGTGATTGGCATTCTAGAAGTTGGTGAGTAAATAAGAAAACAAAAGGTAATATTTGTATATCAAGTTTGTTCAGGGTGTAAGAATCTACATCGAAACTTCGCTTTATGCAATTAGCCTGGAGTTTTTATCCATAAAGTTGTATGTTTTCTTGTCAGAGAACATCACATTCACAGTCACATCAAATGACCTTTCATCTGACTAATCAGAGCATCACTTATGAGATTGCGAAAGTGTAAGTCTGTTTTCTAGTTGAAAATGTTAACATGAGGCATTCCAGAAAACAGTTATGGACTGTATGACTGATTCTGAATGCTAGACATTGTGTAGCCAATGTTTCAATTTGATAAGCATTTGAAGCGAAAGAGACCTCTCATTGCCAGTGGAAAGTCCTGTCATACAACCATAGCTATTAGACATTACAGAACGTTCTTTTGTTCAGTTTTCACATTTTAAATCAAGGACATTCTCAAATATTTTTCAAGGCATAGTATGGACAGGAAGTCACAACTTTGAAACTTGTTTCTTAAAGCTCCAAAAAGCTGCTTTCTGAAATTTAATGTTGACTTCCAGTTCATCATTTCATTGGTTTGTCAAAGTTTGTGAAATGTCGTTCTGACCTAACCTATCCTGGATGTCCTCAGAACTTTGGTGTAGTGGTAGCAAGCATTAATATCTGATTTTAATGAGATTACTACCTTCACTCTGTTTCAGAGATTAAGTTCAAACTCGTATCTGTGGAAACTCGTATCCCTGGCACAGTAGCTCATCTGGATATTATAATATATTATATCAAATATTTTATGCATTGGTATTAAACTCAAATGATTTGAACAAACTTTGACTTCATCATTAGGAAAAACATACATTACCGAGTTTTAGGAGAAATATTAATAGACAATGCATGTGCATTGCAGACACACATGACATTGATAGGATTATTTGTACATTCCTACATACAAGGAGTTGGTGTACGGTTCATGGTAGGAAGTGTAGGAACTTACCTGCTGTAGCCAGAGCAGCAATGCATCCACATGTATTACATAGTACCTCAGGGTCACTGGAGAAGAGGAGACGGTTCAAGGGAGTTAATACACCAATGGATGCTAACACCTCCTTGTTTGTGACTGAAAAAAGTGATTTTTGGAAATTGAAGGGCGTATTTTATTTACTCAAGTTAACATATAGCACAAATTGAATGCAAATTTGAAAAGAGTTTGCAACTTCATGCAAAAACAGAAGCAGATCTTCATTGCCATTTCTAGGTCTCAGAAATCTTAACAAGCCATCCCATATTTCCAGTGTGATACCAATGTCTGCTGAAATACATGCCTACTTAAACCTCATACCACATAAAAGACCCTTGCCTTAAACTTAAACATGATGAACCTCTGAAGCATTTCCACTTTGATAATATCACTTCCAGTTTGACATTTTTATTTACTTCACTTCCAGGTTGGGAAAACACATAGCTAAAGATGTAGAACTTTAAAACAAAAGTCCCTTGTCTCTAGTTACATTAATAACACAGTCATGAGGACCTCCAGTTTAAAAGGATCACTTCCTGTTTGGGAAAGCACATGACCAACACATTCACTTTGAAACAAAAAGTCCTTGGACTTTAGTTATCTTAATAACAAAGTTATTGGTTCAGGTTTAATAACATGACTTCCAGTTTGGGAAAACACATGGTAATCACTGTTCACTGAATCACTGTGTTACCTTTAAAAGGGAGAATATGCGATTGTGTGTGTGTCGTGCTGATATAAAAATAACATACACATGTTCAAAGAATTTATCGATAATACCTTGATTGATTGCTCATTGTTATCTAACTCAATCAATGTTTTTAAAGAACCGTGGACATCATGAAAATAGTTGTCATGTGTGCTATCTCAGCTAACAATGAGACTTGACACCTATGTGAAACACCTGAAACAAACTTACATGAACAGTTGAGACAAAAATAAAATCCAGAAACGCTATATAAACTGACGTCCAAAAGAAACTTTACCAGAGTTTGAAATCACTCTTGCTCAAAAACAACAAAACATACATGCATGAAGTAAAGTGTATTGAGAAGATCAATATATCAACATAATCAACACTGAAAATGACAATCATACTGCGACCGAGAATGACGTCAGAGCCCCCCAAAGTTTGGTGTGGTACAAAACTCGAGCTTTCAGAATCATGGACAATAGGCAGAGTACATAAACAATCGCTCACGTTCAGTAACAAGTCATTAGTAGCGTGTGTGGCCACCAAATGCCTCAATACACGCAAAAACTCTTCGACGCACAGAAAAAGTCAGTCGTCTGATGAGGTCACCTGGGATTTGACGCCATTCTTCTTGGAGGGCCAAGATCAGTTCTTGCCGGTTGGCTGGAGAGTGTGGTCGTTGTCGAACACGACAATCAATAAACTTCCCAGAGGTGTTCTATGGGGGACATGTCGGGTGAGCGTGCAGGCCACAGCAGGACGTTGACGTTATTGGCTGTGAGGAAGTTAGTGACAATTCCGGCTGTATGGGCTCTAGCGTTGTCATGCTGATAAATGACACCACGTGGCTGCTGTTGGAGAAATGGTAGGACAACTGGACGAAGAATGTTATCCATGTAACGCTGAGCTGTCAAGTTTCCGTCAACGATGACCAGTGGTGTCCTCTCCTGCCCACAGATCCCTCCCAACACCATGACACTCCCTCCACCATATGGTACGACCTCCTGTACGCAACACGCCGCCGTTCGTTCACCCCTTCGGCAGTAAACATGTTGTCTTCCATCAGCCCTAAACATACAGAATCGACTTTCGTCAGTGAAGACAACCCTCTGCCAGTCACGTCGTTGCCAACGTCAATCGCAGACGACGATGTTGCGCTGTCAATAGCTGTCCTCTGTATAGTCTAAAGGCCCTGATTCCTGGGTCTGCCTGTTCTTGGCCTGTCAGCAGTCCCCATGTCTGTCTGTAACGTTGCATCAAGTTGGTAACGGCAACATGGGAGCAACCGAAGGTTCGTGCAATATGGGCATGTGTGGCTCCCATCTGTACCATACCCAAGGCTCGTTCACGTTGTTCGACTGTGAGTCGTGGCATTTCTTTTGTGTTTTTTTATCACTGTGGATGTCTGACTTGCTGTTGCAATCGTTTTATACCCTTACCCACGCGTGCATTTGCAGTTGTCCGTGGTGCACGTGTTTTTCACTTTTTCGCGTGTTATCTCGCAAACATGTAACAGATGATTAACATTTTCTGCATACACTATTGTTGTATTTAGGTTATGTGTTTTAGATAGACTTCATTGAAATTTTTTCTTTATTTTCAGTTGGTAAAGTTTCTTTTGGACGTCAGTTATATATTATATAGTTTATATTTAGATTGTTACAAAGACACATGACATCGAACAAGTTTCTTTGTACAGCTGCAGACAAATGGGACATTGTTCCTTTATGTGGATATTTAGGGATATATTCCTCAGAGAAGGTAACTGCCCAACATTATACATATAACTTTGGTCGGTTGTAATTATGATATTTGCATTTTGTTTTCATTCCTTTGATCATGTTGATGTAGGATTGAACAGAATCGTTCTTGATCCTCTACATTTTCATTATGAAGTTAGTTCTTTGATGGGGGGCACGGTAGGCCCAGTCATCTAAGGCGCCACGATTCCCTGTGCAGGGTTGCATCCCTTGAGCATGCCAGAAACCTATGATTGTGGGTTTGAATCCCGCTTCGCCCGGATTATGTTTCTTGGTTTTGACAGCACCATACCCATGCTCGTGGGTTTCACCAAAGTGGTAAATGTCTGAGACCTGCATCACTTCGGGATTTCCTCCCACATAAAGCTGACATGCAGTGACATAATCTGGAATACTGAAGCGGTGTTAAACCCAACTCACTCACTCACTCACTAGTTCTTCAATGTGAGATAGACAACACTAAGTCAATGTTTAAACACTCCTTTTCGTTTGTAGGCATGTACATGTTACAGTATGTGTAAAATTTGATTCATTCAGGCAATTTATATCATGTCCAAATATTTCAGTCATTTTACTGAAATTGACTGAAAAATTTGTCCATTTATTTAACAGATTGACTAAAAATTAGACATTCAAAAGAGCTTAAAAACATCACAATAAACATTAATGCTTGGATCAGAAGGTAAATATATAGAAATGTACTTTGACATTCATTTTCTTTTAATCTTTTCAGTCACTTGGTGATGAAATTAAACACCAAATGTTTCGAATTTGTTATCATAATTAAATTTTTCAGTCAATTTGTAATATAACTGAATATTTAGGCATTTTACTAAATTGCCGTAGTAAATATTTTAGTCATTTTACACACTGACTGTAACATATACACATGATAAAATAAGCAATGTTCAGGTGAAATATTTAGTTGTTATATATCAAAAAAGTGTAAACGAATAGTGGGAAGTCATACGAAAACATTCCCGTTCAATCGATGGAAAGCGCATCTACTTGGAAAGCTTGAGGATCCAGTACTTGACCCCGTGAGCTTGTTGTTGAGACATGTGGAAAACAAATCCAGGTGTTGTGTGTCCCACACCAATGCTATACAACTGAAAATGTCTGGTTGAAAAGACCATTCCATGGCACTATGTTCCCTGGTGTGATAAGCTGTCTGCCAAGATGTTAAGCTTCCCCAGGATGTGACAAGCATGCAGCCTGCATGTTTATCAAGCCTCCTAAGGCAAATAATCATGCAGTCTTGCTCATTAGTCTGATCGACTATGACTGAGCAAACCCCACTCCATATTGTGGAAGGAAGGGTGGACAGTACTTATCAGCACAACATACTGACACCATTTTCAACGGTAAGGCTTAGTAATTGCTGGAATAAGTTAAGGTCAGTATGAAGTCTTTGATAGTGATTTAGAAGTTCAGAAAACATAGGGAATCAGAGTATTCCCCATAGTTTTATATTTATCCTAACACAACAGTATGCAATATTCCTATTTGCTTAGATTATATAACAGTGGAGAACATTGTGAAAACAACAATAAGCAGAAAACATCCCCTGACCACCTCGCTCCTAGCATGTTCCTGCACCACTCATCTTTTTTATCAACGATCGCCCACAGACAAGCGCATCCAAACGTTGAGAGGATGGACAGGCGGGCAATCATGACCTGTTGTGTCAGGATAAGTATATAAATAAGGGGAATACTCTGATTCCCTATATCTTTTAACTTGTCCCTCCACAACAGTTTGCAATTATACCACGGCAGGTCAAAGGGTTGAACCAACTGGATATCCCCATATGTGATTGAGTAGTCAGGCCAGAGCATGATCTAGACTAGACTGCCATTTTGTCTTCAAACCAGGGGTGTGTTCAACTAGTCCCATAATACATCACCACCATGCCTGATTTATAGTCAGACTGGGTATGACATTACATTGCAACTGGAGCTACTCGAAAGATTGGGAACTGTAGTTACCTTCACAATAATTAGTACCCTGGTACGGAGTTAAATGTAATCATTCCGAACAAACATGCAGGCGTACTGGTAATGGCAGGAACTCCAATCCAATTCGTCAAAGGCCATGGGGAGGGGCGGCAAGTTGCCTCACAAAGACGAGAGGACCTAGCAGGTGGACTCCCTCGACATCCTCAACTGACAGATCCCAGAGGTAGAAGTCGGTTTGCCAAAAAACAACCTTGGACAATGTCTGTGACAGCGCTGTTTGTGTGAAGTGCCATTGTGGATTCCCAAATTTCATGTGGATGGGAAGCTCTAGGTGGATCCAAACCAGCATGGGCATTAGCCTGAGTAATGGTTCACCAGAGCATAGTTCAAGATAGTTCGGCGACCCTCCTCAGTGGTCGGGAGGAAAAGACGTTTACTAAGATGCCGAAAACGACAAGTGATGTCAATATAATGACATAACATACGAACTGGAAATAGGGAGATGTCCTCTGTATCACTAGTCCCAATGGTGTTAGGCAGTGGGGCGATAGTGAAAGTGAGATCCGCCTGGCAATTGATTTTTGGCAATAAAGTCCTACATTAAGCCAAGAGGTACCTCTGCACGTGGACCATGGTCAAATTTGATTTGGGTGACATCAAGAGCAGTGGCCAAGGACAGAAGAAAGG